GTCGGGCTGCTGCCAGAAGACGACCTGTTGCTGAGGAGGGGCTGGTGTTGGATGGTGCCTTGAGCTGGTGCCACCAGCGAGCTCGGTGCCAGCAGAGGGAGGCGGGGGGAGTTTTCCTATCCTTGAGAAAAAACTTCGTCATCCTGAAACACGCAAGCAGAAAACAGGCCTGCTTTCAGAGCGCGTTGGTAATGGATGAAATGTCCTGCTTGTGCTATTATCAGATGCGTTACGATAATGCAAGAGCAGATGCGGCCGCTGTTTTCTGCAGCACTGTGAAGACTGCCCTTTCTTCGCATACTACCAGTGCAGTTATTGTCCGGCCTGGTTAAGAAAATGCTTTGATCTGTGCTTAACAATTGGTCTTTTTTTTTGGAAGACCAGACTTTTGTCACCTCTCAGCTAGTGACGTAGAGATAAAATTTGCCTCGATGGAGCGAGACTTGCAGGTCCTGTGGAATACTGAATTTAGTCACCCCTTATTTTCACGTGTAGTATTCCTGCACTCTGAAGGCACTGGTTTAGTCACTGTTGGTGGTCGTGGAAGGGTCAGGGTATGATGCCGTGTCACAGAGAAATGAATCAAAGGGAAAAGGGACTGCTGGTTTCATCTGCAAGCTGCCCTGCCACGCAGGACCTTCTAGTTGCAAGGCTTTCGCTTCCCTGATGCTCCCTGTGTGCCAGCAGCTCTCTGACTGGGGGATTGCTGGTTTCTTACCGCAGTTAGCTGCAGGTGAGAGGAAGTTTTAATTCTTTTTAATGTTAGGAGAACCTCAGTTTCCCCCTGTAAGTGAAGGTGCACCAATTCCCAGCCTCAGCTCAGCTGCAGCTGTACTCGATGTATCTGAGGGCCAGTAGAAGACAAAGCAGACTATGGTTCCTCTCTGTGAGGTCTGATAAGAGAGCAGACCCACAGAACTACTGCCAGAAGAGCTTTTGAGTTGGTGCTGCTTACTGAAAAGGGCCAAGTGTTGAGCTGGCTTTGAACTAACCTTTAATTATGGAGTAAATTACTTTGCATGGAAGTTTTGTCACACCCTAAGGCTGATAAAGAGTTGCAAAGCAGGCAGTCTGGCATCTCGCTGCTCTGCTTTGTGCACTTACCCAAGTACTTCGGCGTGCTGGAACATGAAGTGGTACAGATTTGGATGCTCTTCTTAGGAGATGAGTCGATTCAGATTTGTCTGAAGTTTTAAGTATGGAGTTTAGTTTGGGTTTTAGCCATGACTTTCTCATCGATTTGGAGATATCTCAAAGCCAGATTGTAAAATGGTTTCACAACTAATTGCTGAATTAGTGCTACTCTGTGATTTAGGACTTGCCTCGCAAGTTTGCCTTCTGTCTTAGGCTTGAACTTGGTAGTTTTACTTTTGCTTTCATTTAACTAGAAGGTAATGGTAGACAAAAGTGATTCTGACTGGTCTTTCTAGGTGAGCAAGGGAGTACCACATAAAAGGAGCAGATGAACGTTTTTTGTTTGTTTTAATCAGCAGTTTAAGGACTTTTCTTTACCAGGGCAGTACTTTGAGAACACGGAGGCAAGGAAGCCTGAGGGCTGGCTGAAGAAATTTTTTGGTCTGAGGATGGAAAAAGCTCAAATGCTTTCTGTTTTACCCAGTTGTGCAGCTAGAGAACAAGTGTAGAAATTTCAGGTGATGCCCGAATCCAACCGTTGCATCTAGTTCAGCGTTCCTTCCCGTGGAGTCGGCTTGCCTTGGCTGCGATTCCCGTGGGGCTTTGACCTGCTGGCATGTGAAAGTATCCCAGGGCAGGTGTGCTTGCATTGCTAATTATTTGTAAATTGGTGTGAAAAAACTTCAAGCACTGGCATTATTTTTCATAGGACGATAACTCTAAGTGTAGGAGATGGTAACATCAAGTGTGGAAACTTCAGAGCCCGGTGTTATTTTTGCTACAGTACCTGTTACAAAGGGCTGCGCAGCTGTGTTGCGAGTGTGTTTGTGTAGGGGAATTTTTTAAATCTGTTTCGGTTGTCTGTTACCTTTCTGATGACATTCAGTGTTAGGTAGCAGATGGATGTAGGAGAGCCCCGCTGTTCTTTGAGCTTGGTTTTGGAGGCCTGATGCGAGACTGTGCACACCCCTTGATCCATAACCTGGGATGAAAGCAGTTAATGCAACGGACTTCGGGATTTAAACTAGGATGTCTGGCTTTCTGTCAGTTTGCTTTATCTCAGAGGTTTTGGATTTTGTTTTCATCCTTAAATTGGAACTGTATGGGCCCTGCAGTTGTTTCCTTCTCTTGCTAAGTGGTAAGTAACTTGGAGCCAATGATGCAGCCCTTGACAGGAATCCAAACATCCTGTTTTGGTTGGGATGTGGGGGTTAACCAGCTAGAGTGACTTTAGCGCAGTGTTCTTGGGTCACTGTTCAAATTTCAGTGATACTTTATACGTATTTTTCTGAACTATGAAGTGTTCCATGCTGGAACTCCTTTCTGTCCCAAAATCACAGGTAACTGTACTTAGTGTGATGTTCTGTGTTGGGTGTTTTTTCCTTCTGGCTACTCTGATGATTTCTCAGAGCAGCACTGCTTTCTCAAATACCTGGAAACAAGAAGTTTGCAGGAACTTGGGCTTTTCTGATATTTTTGTCTTCTCTGCATAAAAGAATAAAATGTATTCCTGTAATAAACTTACAATTTCTATTTGTTTGGGGCACACAAAATGGATGCTTCAGTTTTATGCCACTCTTCATGAAACAGAAGGTAGCTGTCATGAGGAATGGTGACTTCTGGTGGAGAACAGGCTTTGTAGTGTACTTTGGAGGCCTCAGCACTGCCAGACATCTTCAGAATAGCTGACTTCTGCATTAAATAAGATGAAGCGTCTGTCGTGTAGCACCCTAAAACTGCTGTATGCTTCATTTGCAGAAAACTGTTTGTGGGTGGCTTGGACTGGAGTACCACACAAGGTAAGCTGTGTATTCTGCGGTTGTTGAGCCAGGCCTTTGCGAGCAGCAGAACAATGTACAGACACACAGCTTTTTAGCGGGCAGTACTGTGGTGGGAAGATTTGCGTGAGGTTGTACTGCTCTCTTCTGTTAATGAATAAAATTTTCTGTAGAGAGAGTTCAAATACATGTTAGTCACTTTTGGTTTTATATTTTCTATCAATGTTTGGTACTGAAGTTTTTGTCAACACGGAAGATGAGAAATTTTTATCATTGCTTTACTACAACACTGCTTTCCTTTTGTATGAGTGGAAATAAAAAGCAGTATGTACCATTTGTTTAGAGGAATTGAAATGTAATCATTTTCAAAATACAAGTTTGAACTTGTTTAGATTTTGCTTATCTTTTGTCTCATGATTGCGAACACAGCCTGGTAAAGTTAATATCAGGTTCTGTTTAATGTATGCTTTTTCTTTAACAGAAACTCTTCGTAGCTACTTCTCCCAGTATGGAGAAGTTGTAGACTGTGTAATAATGAAAGACAAAACAACAAACCAGTCTCGAGGATTTGGATTTGTCAAATTTAAAGATCCCAACTGTGTGGGAACAGTACTGGCCAGTAGACCTCATACGTTAGATGGCCGAAATGTAAGTTGCTTTTGTCTTTTGTGTTTTTTTCTACTTCAGAACGTTTTGATCCAGACTGCGTCAAAGATCTGGTTTAAATTCTGGCTTCTTATTTGCAGACCAGATAGTGTAAAAGTTACCTGGTGGTTGGTTTTAATTATTTATTGTAAGATGCTTTAACTGAATGATTTGTGTCGCGTTGTAGAAGCGATGTATTGATGATAGCTTTGATCTGAGGAGCTGGATTTCAGCAGTGCTGTGTTCAGCTGCCATAGATGCAACTTTTAGAACAATATTCTGCATGCTGAGATCTGACCAAGCTGGAACTTCTTCCAGATTGATCCAAAGCCATGTACACCTAGGGGGATGCAACCAGAAAGGACACGACCGAAGGAAGGATGGGTAAGGAAAGACACTTGGTGTATCCTGCCTGTTTTCCAAGTTTTGGCTCACCTTCTAGCAGTTAATTGAATTCACTTGGATTATATCCATGTTTTAAGATCAGGAGTCAGTATGCAGGCCTGGAGTGTAAATTTTACATCTGAAAAATGTCTTCTGCTTGGATTTCCATGATGAGACTGCAAGTACAATACAGTGTTAACGAACATTTTGTGTTCGCGTCAGACTCAGCTTGTGGGTGTGGTATTTTCTTAAGCTCTTAGCAGTGCTGTTAGTTGACTTCTTCAGACCTTGAAACAAGAGCACTTGCAGGACTGATGCTCTTTTCCAGCCTACTTCACACCCTGCAGGTTAATATGATTTCATTATAAAATGAGTAAAATGGCCTCAGAACACAGTCTCTAGTTTTCTGATCTTCTGAAGAGCAGAGACTGGGTTACGACTATGAACTCTCAACTTCTGAGCTCCGAGCATGCAGTTGCTTCACTTTAATGACTAGGAGACTTCAAGCGTGGGCATGGTTCCCCTTCAACCTGCAAGAGACCATTGTTCACACTGAAGTGTAAGATTACAAAAGTAGCCAACTTTATTGTCCTTCTGACTGAATTTTTTCCTCCTTGATTTAGCAGAAAGGATCCAGGAGTGATAACAATAAATCAAATAAAATTTTTGTTGGTGGGATTCCTCATAACTGTGGCGAGACAGAGCTCAGGGAATACTTCAAGAAATTCGGAGTGGTGAGTCATTCAGCATGATGGCAGTTATCAGTCGGTTGCAAGATGCTTTCCCTCCCTACTGCCTTTCCTCAGATTTTGTCAAGTTGTCAAATTTTGGGTTAATTTAGACAAACTGCTGTAGGGACTTATTGAAGCATTTTGGAATAAACTGTAGTAAACGTTCATCATCTTGAAATGTATCTTGCTGTTTGTCAGAATCTATTGCTCTGATATGTAACTAACTTTGCTGCTTCTGTCTCCTCTTGTTTAAGTCTACCTGATGCATTATTCTGCTCCCTTCTTGCAAAAATCCTGAGTTGAGCTGGCTTGAAAATAATTATTTCTCTTTTCAATAGATAACTTATAGCTTGGTGATTTAAAAGGTTTTGCTAACTTTGTTTTGAACAGTGAGCACTTAAGTAAGCTTATGTCTAAAATCCTTGTCTTTGACTACATGTACAGATAGGTTAAATTTTGCAGTGTCCTGCCATTATTTTAGTAACAGTAGTTGCGGTTAAATCATCTGGAATCAACTAAGTTCTGTTGTCCCTCGAACTTCCGTTCTAGAGACAAACTACTACTCATGTTATGCACCTGTTCTTAATCCAGTTTATAACCTTGGACTGAATTTACTTTATCTTATGTGAGTTTTCTCCTAGTTAATTTCCCGTTTATACTAACTATCTTTGCCCATTTAAGATGGTAAACTGTTTAACTAAACTACTAAACTCAGCTCTGAACTGGTTTGAGAAACTTAAAGATTGTCTCAGTTGAATTCAAGACTAGGCCAGTGGATGTGAACTTGCCATCTCTTGAGTGGCAGTGTTTTCTTGATTTATTTTTTTTAAATCACCTTTCTCTAAGATCCCAAGTGGCTAAGTTTATCAACAGTATTGTGTTTAGAATTTGGTTAAGATAATTTTAAAGATATATAGAAGGCAATGGCTAACGACTGTTTCTTTAGTTTGAAAGGCTGCAGTAGACTTGTAAATAAAAATGGGGGAGCATGTTCCACAGCTGTGGAGCGTAATTTCTAAAGGCTCTTCCTCGCAGACTTTTGGCTTTCCAATTCTGACCTCTGGATGGCTTGCGAGATACAGGGTTATGTTCCACCAAATATAGAAGGCAACAGCCATTAAGTGTAAGTGCCCTTAAAAGTAAGTAGTAGAACTTTAACAATAGTATAGAAATTGGGGAGTCAATGTAGCATTCTTAATGAGTTATCTTTGGAGAAGTAGAGGCTCTTATGTATGTTTGTGGCCACAGAGTGGAAAGACAAAAACAGACACTGATTCTTAGACGTGGTAATTGCTTGGTAAATAAGACCAGTGTGAAGAAAGGGATCCACTTGGACCAGTGGGGAAAAAGTCTGGCACTGTCACGTGGCATAGTCCTCAAACGGGTCTCAGCTGTTAGTGTCCAGCAGGATGTATTCAAGTGAGTGTATATGGTGTCGTATTTTTAAAAGAACGTGTTCTAGCTGTAAGTAAAAGGTGAATTTGCGACAGATTTTAAGCTAATTCAGGGGATTATAGTAAGAAATACCCGAAGATTGACCTGAAGGCCTAGATGCGATTCCATGAGTTCACGCGCATGTTGTGACACTTTTCTGCATTTGAGAAATTTAAGGGCAGTTCCTTTCAGCTACTTTAATATTGCCTTTGATATAAATTGGACACCTCTGGTTGTGTTTAAATTGTAGCTCGCAGTGGTGCTCAGTCTGCAAAAAAAATCTTGAAGCCCTCAGACTGCTTGCATTTTTCATTTTTTGGCCTTTTTTAAGTTAAAATCACACTGATACTGATCATCCATAACTTAGGGGTTTTTTATAGTGCTGTTTAGAGCATCACTTTATGACTGGTACTCTGTGCCACACTGCTATGCAAGTAAATAATTCAGAGAAGCCATGCAAATTCTTAATGTGTTTGGGGTTAAAGCTGCTTTTCGTGTTGAGAGTGGAAATGTTTAAAAATGGAAGAAGTATTCTTTTAAGAAACTACACTGAATAGTATGTTGAAAAACAAACCTTTGGGGTTTTTTATAGGCTATAATGTGGGTATAAACACCGTAGCAACCTTAATGCTAGATTAAAATCTTAAGTGTGATGAGACCCTAAAAAGCCACAGTATAGCAGCTTTTCGGAACAGATGAACTCGGGCTTTTCTTAAACTCCCATAAAGAGCAATGTTCCCAAATTGTTTATAGTGTGCTAGGACAGCCTGCTGTTGATGGCTACATCGAGCATTTAATTGTGCTTTGTGGATAGAGTGCGGGAAACCAGCCTGTAGTAACTGTTTATAACGCTCCCCTGGTAGCACCGTTAGTAGAATTTCCCTTCTCTCTTCCAGGTCACTGAAGTTGTAATGATCTATGACGCAGAGAAACAGAGGCCCCGAGGTAAAGGCTGATCTAGTTTGTCCTTGAAATTTCTTCATACTCTCCTATAGTCAGATGGCAAACTATTTCACACCATCAGAGAAGGTAGACTTTTTTTTTCTATGTTGCCTCAGGAAAAAGAATAATTTGCTGGGAAAATATCACTTCAAGTCTAGACTCTTCATCTACAGCTTGAGTTGGTATCTCTGCATTTAAAGTCAGATGTTTCATGTTCATGTATGGGTTTTTTGCTAGTTTTTTTTAGTTGAATTAAATTTAATTCTCGAGCCGCTCCTGTGGCTTAAAGTACTATTGAGGGGGGTGGGGGGAGTGAGCAGACTTTCCTCCTGTTCCACATGAAAGGTATGTTGCTGGCTGTAATTGCATGGGGGGGATACTCCAGTTCAGAGTCCTTCTGAACGCGAGATTAGAACAGAATCCATCCATTGTATGCTTTTTGTTTTGGTTAAATGGCTTCTCTTAAAATTCAAGAAAAACACTTCTCTAACTGCACAAAATAATTCTGAATATGTATATTTTGATTGGGATGTATAATCCCTGCATGCTAGACTGCTTTTTTAATTAAAAAAAAAAATACAAACCAAAAAACCGGAAGTTTCACCAGACTGTTTAATCAAGTCGGTAACCTTTGGTCAAAATATGAAGCAAGTTTCATGTCATCCACCTTCCATTGCATTTGTCATCTGTTTGACAATTAAGAGGCAATATTGTAAATACATGAAGCTTAGTTGCACTGACCACCTTATAGCATGTTCTACATGCTAGAGAATAGTTTGCCATCTGAACTTTCATTTCTCTTCTGACTCATTATTAAGAAATATATTCTTCACTTCATATTTATTAAGCTGTTAAGTCTTAGTTTTATTTTTAATTTAGACATACATCGTTAGTGACATATTTAAGTGTTTCATAGTAAAGTATGGTAATGTTAAGTAAGTTCTTTTTTTCTTTCTTTCTTTTCTCTCTGTGAATTGTTTGACTGTGATTAACGATATCTCTTTAGATTTCTTCTCTCTAGGTGATAATTTATCACAGAGGTACAGGCCAGTTCCACAGTCAGAGGAGGGACGGGCTTTGTCTTTTATTGGAGTGTAAACGAAGTTTCAATATATTTGTTTTTTTGTTTTCTTGCTTTAGCTGTCTTAATCTTCATTCAACAGATACCCTTTATTTAAGCAGGACATAAATTCATCTATTTAAATGTCTAGAGCATCTGATTTTAAATAGAAGAGGCAGTGGAGACAAAGATACGGGCATCTGAGTGTAATTTGTGGCTGAAATTGTGAAATATTTCAGTAATTATTGTATCACCTGTATCTTTGTAATATTTGATCCCAGCCTTGTGGTCTCTGAGCAAAAGGTACTAAAACATCGTGCCTGGTCTGAATTAATCCTGAAAGCAGAAGTGACGGATGTGCGCAGGTTTGAGAACCTGTCTGCCTCCATCCAGTGTGCAGATGCACTGCAGAATACTTTCTCCCTGAATTCATCTGGCTTCTTAAACAGCGTTCTCCAATCCTCTTGCTCTGGCTGTCATTTTTGTTCTGCTGCATTCTTTTCTGTAGTGTGGTAACTAACCGTCATCTCCAAAAATGGCCTTGTTAGTCCCTGGGGGTGTGCTAGGAAAAATTCCTCATAGCTTGTATTCAGTATTCCTGGCCATGTGTCCCAGAACACATTTTCTCTTGCCTTCTCCTTCTGGTCTATATTCTATTGCATAGAGTGCTACCCAGTCTATACACGTGTCCTTTTAACACAATACCTAAATGACTAGATATTTATGAATCTGAAAAGGCCAATTCACTGCCATCTTGTACCATTCTGAGTTTTGCCTTCTTCCATTAACTTTACCATCCTTGCATTTTGAACAGATCCCTTACTGCATGTCATTTTACTAGTGTGCTGGTAGGAGGAGGGAAGAATCATCCCTGTTACTAATCCCTGTAGTATTCATCTACCTCCAGCTTCTCACAAGAACACTGGGAACCAGATTCTTGGTTAGTGTCAGAGCTACGGCGATGCCCTTGAGAAGCTGGCTGGGGGTCTTCGAGTATCCAGGTTGTCTTTGCTGGCTCGCGGTCCCTACCTACTTCCGTTAGCTCTCCTGCAAGCAGCGCTTTCATCGAGATTCTTCCCAGAGTCCCAAGCGTAAGCGCAGCTAGCCTCATTACATCTTAAAAGAAACAGTGGCTTTGTTGCGGTCTCTGCTTCTCGTGCTTTCTATTCTTGGCTAAACCAGCAACTGTGAAGTAATTTACAGGTTCTTGCTGTGTTTGTTCTCTTCCTCCCCTTGGCTGCAAACCAGTGTCGTTGCTCTGTTCCGTAGTCCGCTTGGATTCCTGCGAAATGCAATTAGTTGCTCTAGTCTTCAGTGAAGTCCTGCCCTTCAAAAAACAAAGCTACTGGATGATAGACTTCGTCACTTTTACGCTATTTAATATTTTATGTTGTTGGAATTTTGCTGTGTATTGTACTCTGGTTTTCTTCACTGTTCCTTATCTTGGGGTGGTTGGCCCTTTTAAATCCCTTTTTTTCCCCTCTGCTGGCTTCCTCAATGACCTCTTACTCTCCTTCCTTCTCACCCTCCAAGTCCCATCCCCATTATTTCCCCTCCTTCAGTCGTCTTGGAATCAAGTTAAACAGGCAGTCTTCATATGCAGATGGTATCCATCATTTTTCTTTCCCATGCCTTTTTAGGTAAAGGCTGTAATACTAAATGTGTGGGTTAAATACAAATACTTTTCTTCTGGCTCCAATACTTAGATTTCTAGTTAACCTCAGACAAATATATTGTGATGAAATGCTGCTCTCAGTTTTGAGGCTGCTTTCATCACAGGTCAACAAAACTTCGTTTATACTGCCAGTCTCTTGTGTGTGGGAAATGCTAAGTTTTTTCCTTTTTATTTTAAGTTTATTTTAGTGATGTCTTTTGCTCTTGTTGCTGACAGCAGAATTTGACCTGCTGGAATCTATTTTGGCCTGTATCTTTGTGTATTTTTTTATATATAAACTTTCTCTACAATAGGCCTCTTTGGGCTTACCCAACCCAGTTGGATAAGCTTAGAGAGACACTAACTGTTATAGATACTGTATTTCTGTTTAACGCTTTAGAGCAATATATGGCTGCTGTCAGCACTAGCTGCAAAGCAAAATGCAAACCAAGGGGGAAATCTTGGGTTTCAGAAAAGCAGAAATGCATCCATGTTCCATATGCTTTTGATGCCGCACCTCGTTTTTCTTTCTAATTTTTATTGCTCTGCCCTTAGCTAATCTGAAGAATGGCACAGTTACGTACTGCATGTGTTCCTACCTTTCCGGGGATTTGGTTGTTACGCCAGCAAGAAGTGGTTGATGGCATGAACCAGCCTCTCTGTTCTGTGAAATCAACCACTGTTTTGCCACTCTCTCGGCAGTATCAGCAGCTACAACCTAAGTGCAGTGGTTCTCAAAGTGTGACCTCAAAGCCATTTAGTCCTGGGGCTTTGCCTCGCTTCCAGTGTCTTCTGCAGGCGTCAGACACCCCCCCCGCAGCCTTGTGCAAAGCTGCTGGGTTCAGCGGAGCTACTGTCATGGAGGGCTACGGTCAGATAAAAGGGAGCAAGCTGGCCTTGGGGGTCTGGAGCAGTTAGCCATGTCCGGGGCAAAGAGAGGGACTGAAAAGTGTTGCATAGATTTGCAAGAGAAAACCAGCAGGAAATAAAAGAAATAAAATAGGTGAAGGGCCGTGATGGCAAGCATTGCACTCTGTGTAAGCAACGCTTTGTAGTTGCCAGGGGTGGTTGTGTTGGGAAGGAGTAATTCTATTATGTACTTTTTCTAAGGTGTGGGAAACTTGAGAACCTCTGATCTAGGTTGTTAGTTTCTGAAGCTTCTCATTCATCCATGGAGTGGTAAAATTTTTCATGCTTTTACAGCTACATTTCAAAGACAACTTTCTTATTTTCCATGGAAAATATTCCCTAATTGGAAGATGGGACGAGGGCTGGGAGGAGGTTGCTTTGCAGCTTTGGGGAACAGGGATGTAGGAGGTTTGCCTTGGGAACCTAGTCTGAATCAAATGTCAGAGCAGCAAGGTTGCTTGACTTTAATCTGCTGTCCCACAAGTGCTTTGGTTTTAATCATGTGGCACAGCTACGTTTAGGACTATGCTAGCACTTTTTCTCCATTTCCTGGTAGGTGGGTTAGAATAAAATCAAACTAAAAGTTAGTTAACGACCTCAGATTGTAAGTTGCATGTGCGAAACCAAGATGAGGCATTAATTGCCTAACTACAGGAAGTATCCATTGCAATTTTCTCAGGTTGACTTTTTTTGAAAATTTAACACAAGTCTTGGTGATCTGAAACCCCTGCTTGAACCCTTGGTCCGCCCCTAATACTGTTCATCATCCTGTTTTGTGTCACAACACCCTGCTACCTTGATTCACTCTTCGTCGTTGGCTAGGTTTTGGATTTATTACTTTCGAGGACGAACAATCAGTGGACCAGGCTGTCAACATGCATTTTCACGACATCATGGGCAAAAAAGTGTGTAGTTGTAGTTTTATTTTACCTTAAGAAAGAACCAAGTCTTGGGCAACGAGCAATTTCACTGGTGAATAAAAATCACTGATTTGGCTAGGTGGGAGAGCACGCACCTCCAAATTCGAGGCTTTATCCATGAAGGTGGGGAAAGTCTTCTGAGTTTGCTTAAGCAGGCGAGAAAGGCAGTTAGCTTGTGGCTTAGCCCGTAGGAGAGATGCAGATCTTGACAGCCTGAGCACTTCGGCTGTGGGCTGTTCTGTTCTGGGTAAGGCCTTGTGCTGACAGACCTGGGGGGTTGCTCTGGCTGAGCGTGGCTTACCGTGGGTTGAACTGAGGATGACTTGCCGTTGTTCTGAGCACTGCTAAGGTGCAGGGATAGAAGCTAGTTGTGTCCAGCTGTTTGAAAATCAGAATCCCAGTGAAATCCGAGTTGTTCAAGGCTTGGTTTAAGATACCACTCCTTCAGATGTGTATTTGATACTCAAATTTTGAGGTGGTGTGAGACAATCTACTTTATATAATCGTAAACTTAAAAAGAAAAAGAAAAAACATCATGAAGGATTGGTTTTTTAAAAAATTGGGTCACTTACTGTGAAACTTTGATACAAACCCACGTACTCTATATAGTATTTAACCACAATGCAGTTAAGTGACCTCTGGTTGTTTCATCTTCATACTGTGTTGTCAGCAAATGGGTGTTTGATAGGGAGGAATTTTTTAGGCTTACTTTGATGTTACTTGGCAAGGAACATGTTCGTACCTGTGGAAAAAAAAAAAGCAAAGTAAATTGTTGCAGGACACCCAAGTTTTATGCAGAGAAAATAGTAACTTCTTGAAGAAAGCTTAACCACAGGAAATGCTGGTTAGTTCAAAGTCCTTGCAGCTTTGCGGTACATCCAGAATTTTTAAAGTAAGCGTTAGAACTGCTAAGCTTAGAGTGAACAGGTTTCAAGGAAACACAAGAACACCGTCACTTTCCTTCAATTATTGCATTGTATAATTTTGTGTTGTCTTCTAAAGTCTCTCTGTGTGCTGATATTTCATAAGCATTTATTTAGCTAGCAGGGGATATATTCTTGCATATCAGTGGAATTTTGGTTAATTATGCAGTATGTAATGCTTTTTATTCCTATGAACTTGCTGTGGGGTTGAGGGGTGGGCTGATTTCCTAATAATGGAAATGAAGCAAATGAAGAAGTATGCTTGTGTAATCAAGAACATTAGTGTATGCTCTTGATTACTGGTATTTTCCTCTTGTGAGCAGTTGAGCACTCCCATTTGTGAGCAGATGCACCGACAGCAGTAAATTTACGTTGGTATGTGTATGAAGCACCTATATCCTGTGTACATCCTCTGGCCTGTCCTTGGGATTGCCTTACAGTTACATGAACCACTCGAACCGAGGGCGCATCAGAAAGCAGCGCGCTGGGTGTAAAAGGAACAGAGGATAGCACACCTGCGGTAACGCTTCTGGGGAGCTGGGGAGCCCTGCCGCAGCCCTCGAAATGTCACCTCTGACGCTGCCGCTTTTCGGAACACGTCAGTGCTAATTCAGAGCTCTCCATTGTTTCCCAAACAAGCTCAGTACCAAAATGAAATAGTTTCTGCCGCCCCCCCCGCCTTTTTTTTTTCCTTTCAATGACATAATAAGCAGAACTATGCAGTGTTTTTTCAGCTAGGAGCAACGGAGATGAGATGTCTGTTGCTTGCTTTTAGGTAGGTGTAGAATTTTAACCTCAGTGCTAAGAATATTGCACAGAGGTTTTTCTGTCCTGAGTTTGGCAGTTCACCGCTTCCGAATGCGCACTGAAAAATTAGCAGATTTCTTCCACATAGATTAATGAACTCCAGATATTCACTCTTCGTTGACTAATAATGCCTGCTTTAAAAATGGTATCTCTTTCTTTTTGGTAATTAAGAAGGTATTGCTGAAATGAATCCATATGTTGTTGAAAGGAAAAAAAAATTAAAATTGCAAGAAGGACTCTGCTTTTGTAAGCAATAACTGAATTCCCTCGAGGCAAGTGTGTTAAGACTCATTAATTTGAGTCCTTTGAAAAATTCCCTTGGTTCCTCTCTGGAAGGGCCTTCAGCTGACAGAGATTTGGTTACTGTCATGTCGCATGTCCTTGGGGCATCTGCGGTGGGATGGGGGCGGGGGGCTCTGTCCTTGCCCTGTGCCTGTTTCCTGTTTGTTCTCTGACATGAATGGTTTTTAAGACATGGCAGGAAGAATTCTGAATGCTTTATTTTCCGTACTACTCAGGCCCATTGATGATTGAGATTTATTTTCTTTGTACTCTGGCACCCATTAAAATTAATCATAAAATAAAAAAGGCTTTAATTCAGCATGCATGAGTGCTGAGAGTGTTTCATTAAATCAGAAACTGGATTTTTTTGAGAGGTTTATGTTGAATGTGCAGCTTATTTTAAGTAGGTCAAATGCACTTATTTGATGGCTTGGAACACTAGGACACTTTATCTTTGAATAAAATAAGTTAAGCGCTGTGGCTTACTAATTTTAAAAACAGGAGGGCTTTTGTCACTGACTTAACACAGTATGAAGATTTGCTTCTTATTGACTCAACTGTCCATTTTTATTACTTGCATGTTTGTTTACTTTTTTGTTAGATGTAATGTAAGATTCTCTTATCACATCCATTCCCTCTGACATTGTTTGAGTTAATTGAGATTCTTTAAGCGTTAGCCTGGGGAAGGTAAGTCTTTATCTTCCATTAGACATTTAAATAAAATCTAAGTTTAAAACCAAACCAACAAAAAACCAAACAAACAAATGTGTGTTTCTCAGGTATGAGCAGAGCTGAAATTGTAGTTAGATGGGGTGGGTGTAAACTGTAACTTTCAAATGAACCCCAAACGTGTTTGAATGGTTAAAGCATTAGTACCCTTTTTCAGAGCGTACTCTTTACTCAAAAGTTCTTTTTTTTTTTTTCTGAAAATGTCATCTCTAACTCCTGCCTTAAATGTTAAAGTAGTATATAAATAATTTAAAAGATTATGTTTTTTTAAGTGAAGAGCCGTTGTAAGAGGGTACTGCTGTTTTAAGATTGAAGCCAATGAATACTGTACTATGGTGAAACAGAAGTGATTTGTAGGATGTGTTTTACTTGAAATACCTCAATAGTAGGACTGGTAATGTCTTACCATCATATATATTGTACCTGAGAAACATTTTAAATTACTGGCCTTAAGTTTAATAATTAAGTATTTAGACATAAGTCATAAGATGCTAAGTGTAGTCTTAAGTGTAATTAAGGGTGTGTGTGAAGGGAAGGGGGGTGTACTAACCTGCACCATCTCTCCTGAATGGCGGCTCTGTTTGTTTAGGTGGAGGTGAAACGCGCAGAACCTCGTGACAGCAAAAGCCAAACTCCCGGGCCCGCCGGTGCCAGTCAGTGGGGAAGCAGGATCATGCCAAGTGCTGCCAACGGCTGGGCAGGTCAGCCCCCTCCGACCTGGCAGCAAGGATACGGCCCTCAAGGTACTGCGTCAGTCTCGGAGTCGCAGTCACAAGCATTGTGCCTTTGCAGCTTGCTGGTAACCTGGTTTTACTGGCAAGTGACGGCATTTGCAGGTTTAGCAATGCTGTCGCTCTGCTGGGTTACGGAGAGCGGGACTAAAATCCCGCGCATCGGTCCTGCCCAAGTCTGCTGAGACTGTTCCTTCACTTCTTTTCCCAGAAACCTGTGTTTCATAGGGCAGAAGTCAGTGGGTCGTGCCGAGTCTAGCGTGTGTCCCAGGCGGTGCTTCACACGGTCTGTTTGGTTCTGCCTCTCCCCACAGAGGGTCGGTGTGGTTTTCGGTAACGCGGAGAAGGTGTCGGGACAGCTCAGCGGCTCCAGTTGTGACTCCAGCTGTGGGAGCGTGGCCTGCTTGAGACCCTAATGAAAAATTTTGTTGAAATACAGGTTTTCGAGGATGAGAGAGTTTCAGAGGAAGTTATAAGTAAAATTTGAAAGGGATGAGAGAAAAACAGATGGTCTTGTCTTTGGATTTTATTGCTTAATGTAGCCTGGAAAAATAACAAGCAGCTATGGGGCTAGCAGTGGTGCGGGGGAGCACTTACTGCATACAATTTTCTTGATTTAGCTTGAACCCTTCAGGGCTGAAAGGAGCAGCCGTGTGTTTTGGGTTTGATGGCTATAAGCCCCACAAGATTTTGAAGACAGGATAAATATGCTGAGTTCATCCAAAGACAGTTTTGATAACTTGTGGAGAAATATGGTGGTATAATTGAGTTGCGTTTGACAGAACAGAACTTGCTTGCTCTGATATATGAGAAATTTTCACCTGGGGGGCTAAAGGGAGTGTCACTGCTTCATCTATTGCTACAATAGATGATACCTCGGTGGAGGGATTGCTTGTTTCCCCATGGTGCTTATTAACTTGAAAGCTGCAGCTGAGGCTTTGACACTCTGCACAGATGTGCTAATCTGCAACTGCGCAAATTGAGAAACTAGATTATTTTCAGTGTGGTTATTTGTAGAGAAAATGATATCTAATCTACTGGAAAGATCAGTGTAAAACATCAATGCATTTATCTTTCAATCTTTATGCTGCAACGAATGCAGAAGGTGGTGTTTCTGTGGTTTCAAAACTTCAAAAATAACTAGGATAAACCTGGTAGCGTATTAAAAACGCTTTGGATGTGTAGTCTGCTGTGATTCTCAGTGGTTTTGTTCTTTATACTGGTTCAGTTGCTTCCACTTGGTACACTCGCATCTGATTTGAGTTTGGGGACTGCTCTCTCTTTTGTGCATGATTTGCTGAATGATTCAGAGTCTTTTCAGAGCTGCATACTCAGAAACAGTCCAAGACTCTTTCTTGGACCATAAAAACGGATCTGTAAGGGACACTGGGAGGATACTGAGAGCGAGCTCAGCTTGCTTTGAATCATTCTTGTTTCACAGTGTACAGCTTCAATGCATGTATCAGTTGCTTTTTTTGTTCTGTTTTAGGGATGTGGGTGCCAGCTGGACAGGCAATTGGTAAGTACGTTATATGGCACCAGTTTTAAATGAAAAATCCTACTGAGCGAGAATGCAGTTTCTTTAAGAGTTCACAGTGATTAGTGGATTTCTGTAGTGTTTAACCTACATTTAAAAGCTTGATTGAATTTGTCCTGGAAGAACGAAGGAGAAGATGGTGTATTGTTAACAAATCCGTAATGGGAGCTGACATACATCCTGCTGTTGTCAACCACGCTAATTTGTTATCAAGGAATTACATTGTAAATTGCAATTACTAACAGTAGGGATACTTGGAGGACAAATACTTCCCCAAGTAAGGATTCAGAGAGGGCTGAGACTGCGTCTAAAATCTGTCAGACAGCTTTACCCCGTCTACAGGATGCTATCTTAGGCAGCAACTTTTCATTATCAAGCCGTTTTAGATCTTGGTTTCTCTTAATTTTCTAGGTGGATACGGACCACCTCCTCCAGGGAGAGGAGCTCCTCCACCACCACCACCGTTTACCTCATACATAGTCTCTACACCTCCTGGAGGATTCCCACCTCCGCAAGGATTTCCACAGGGCTATGGCACCCCTCCACCTTTTAGTAAGTGACCTAAAGGAGTTTGCGTGCAGGCCATCACCAAATTTGATTTTCAGCTTTTGCTCATCTTCCTCTGGACTTGGATTTTACACACACACACCCCCATGTTTCACCTCTCCTTAGATGTTTTGCCTACACTGTATGTTCTGAGCTATAATGAACTACGTAAGTTATTTTGTTCAGTGAGTTGGGTTACTTTTTTTCTTGGGTGCAGTAATCATTTGTTATATTCTGTAGTCTAAATCTCTGTTGCTAAATGAATTTAGATTTTTATTGTGTACCCCTGTTATGACACTGAGAGAGAAGTTAGAGATTACTGCATGGTGACCCGGGCTAGACACAGGCTGGGATTTTCGAGAAGCTTAAGGAATAATGTCGCAACTGGCATTAGAAATGTAAATAGGTTTTTAGCACCTGCTCACTCAGGCTGCATTTTGAAAAGTCTAGTCACAAACCTGGGTTAAAAAAGAAGGCGGAGAATAGCACCCAGTTATCTGGAATTGCTTGTTCTGCTACAAAGGCACCATTTGTTTGGAATTTTTTTTTTTTTTTCCCTCCTAAGATCTCGAGTTATATGGCTTCCTCCTTGTGTCTCGCATGCGCCTGTGAGCGCACAGAGCTTGGTCCCTAGTTCTGCTTCATAACGTTCTCTTTGCTGGTCACTGGTGTGGCTGCAGTCTTCCTTTAGGGTGAGGTGTTTTCGTAATAGAGGGTTTGTTGTTGGGGTCTGTTAGCCACAGCGGTTGCTTACACGTATTTTTAGAAAATTTGTATCGTACTCTGAAGCCAAGCAAGAAGTCAGGGCGGCGTTTGCCCGTGTCTTTTCCCATATGTTGTACTTTCTTCCTGTTTCAGGTTTTGGTTACGGGGCTCCACCTCCTCCACCTGACCAGGTTGCCCCACCTGGAGTACCCCCTCCACCTGCCACTCCAGGGGCAACACCACTAGCTTTTCCACCACCTCCACCACCATCTCAGGCAACTCAGGACATGAGCAAACCCCCAACTGCTCAGCCAGAATTCCCGTACAGTCAGTTTGGTAAGTAGCTGCGTGTCAAATAAACTCCGCTTGATCTTTGTCGCCTTCCTGCTTTGCTTTTATGCTTGAGTAGAAAGTCCGTGTTCAGAGACAGTTTGCTAACGCTGAAGGCACTTCTTTCCAGGATGGGAGTGCAAGCCACCAGCTCTCAAGCGATCCTTAATTCATGCAGTATTCTAGCCAGAGGGTATTTTCATAATCAACTCTAAAACATTGCTTGTATGCTGTGAAATAGTCCTCCGAGACTGTGCACTGCTAGGATAAGTTACTGATTTGCACTCTCCCTGAAGCTGTAGTGAAAACTTTTTTCTCCAAGAGCTTCACGGAGCTTGTAGTCAACTTTTTTGTGTAACTGACTTTGATCAGGCTGGAGAACAGACTTCAAGAGTAAGAATAGCATCGGGAGGCAAGCAGGGCAGGGTACAAGAATCCGAGCTGTGTGCCTGTTCCTCGCTTCCCCCCATTCCTTTTCTACCTCAAGTTACAGTTTTGTCAGAAGTGTGTAAAGCTGAACTGTGCTATACAGGTGACTGTTTCAGATGGCTGATGGAAGACGTTGATGTAACGAGTTTTAAGTCAGGCAGACAGTACTACAAAAAAAAAAAGAATTGCTAGGCGAATGCTTGTCCTCCAGAGTAAAATTCCTGCTCCTCCCCGTGGGAGCTGAGAGGGAGTTCTCATCTTGCTCTTCCACTCAGCCTGATTTTTGAGCAGTATTCTCCAAAGAGCTGTTTGTGGCATACTGCTTTTTTTTTAAAGGGATTGTGATTGTTCATTTTTTAGTTCTGAAGTGAACTTTTTGCATGCAGTAGGCCCATGGATTATGGCTGTTCCCAACGTGAACAAGTTCTCCACGTGTTCTAGTGCCTGCCTGCTCCACCTGAAGCGCCTGCAGAAATGTGACAAACATTCAGAAAGTTGGTTAAATAGATACTATTTGAAGTTCCAAAAATGTAAGAGATGTTGAAGGAAGATTAGCCTTTCAGATGTGTTTAGAAAGCCAGCATCTGTTCTCAGTTTGAGGAATTTGAAATGTTTTTCAATTTGTTTGTTATAAACACAGTTGCTTTCGTAGATAGCTTTGCCCTGGTGACTCGAGGAAGTTTTTCTTGTCTTGCCAGATCTTGCCTTTTTGCAGACTCTTTTTGGAGGAGGATGGACCCTACTAAATAAAGTATAAAATGTGCACAATCCGTGCACAATCATTTATAGTCAGTGGGGATCCAGTAATTTGCAATGTGTTGGAAGTTTAGGAAGAAACTGTTTTGCAACATTGTAAAAAAAATGGCAAGGGGGGTTCCAGTATTTGATGTGTATAGTACTAGTACCACTTGCCTCTTGTGTGTTTGAGGAAGCCTCTTTGCCAATGAAGTATTTTAGGTGTTCTTAGTCTCTGAAGAGTGCTGGGTAGGGAGGGAGGAGGAGGAAGAGACATGTAGTACTGCATTTTGAGGAAGAACGCTAAGAAGTTTAGTTGTTTAAACCACAACTGGTAGTCTCTCACCTCAAGGGTGCTTTTCTAGCCTGAAAGCTGTTACAAGTAAAGTGCTAACAGGGACAGAGGTGCTCAATATGCTACAGTACCACAGGATCATCCAGCTGTTCATAAAGCTATGTGTAAAATCTCTTAAACTTTTTTTAAAGAGCTTTAGCACTTCATGTGATCGCAAATTAGCTGGCAGCGTTGCTGTACGATAGGCAGTGTAGCTGATCTGCATGTACTTACATAAATGCATAAAGCTTATGGGCGTTAAAGGGGGACTGAGTTATCTAATCATTGTGGCATTTGAAGATTTGTCCTGACCTGACAGCATCTTAAATGCTGCTATATTTACAGCTAGGATGAATGTAAACAGTAGTAATTTAAACGCTAACATGGGTGTGTCTCCCTCACCCTGAAAAATTATCTCTGTACAGGGCTGTCTTGGGGTTCGTCACCCTGGTCTCCTCATTTCTTACTAGGGCTGGGTACCTATTCTCAAGACCCTTCAGGCTACGCGCCAATACTTTGTTTACACTCTTATGGTCAGGCTGAGCTGTGAGAAACCTAGGTAGGTGGTGCCTATTTACAACCAATGCTCTTGATATATCTGCGTTTGGGAAATTAACTTGTGTTTCTTGCAGGGTCTCTGGCAAGAGGGCGGGGGGGAGCAATGCTACTCAAATGTTTACTTTTGCGAGTAAGGGCGACACAGTTCTTCGTGTTCGTTAGCTGGCTGAAGTGAAGTCTCGCGACTGAAGTGCGGCTGACGCTGCTGTTCGCTTCCCGAGCTGCTGCCTTGGTGGGGCTTTATCCCGTGTAACCAAACAGAGCTCGGGTTCTTAAGCAAGACAGCGGAATGGCTGGCGCAGCTCCCGCAGAGAGCAGAGCCCTCTGAAGCGGCGGGTGGCCTGTGCGTTTCACTGCGAGGTGCTGGGCAAACCGGGAGCTGCAGCAGGAACTAAGAAAGCGGGGGGAAGACTTAATGTGTGCTTAATGTATGCTTAAATGTCTGGCTGTTCAGGTTTGTGCTGTAGGTTTCCTGTGTGAGAAACAAGTTGAGAACTGTGGTTTCCACCACTTCATGCTGTAACACTGCAGTGTACAGTGAGAATAACTTGATTTCCCCCACCCCACTTCCCCCGAGCCTCACCCCCTGGCAAACAATTAACTTATTTTTCTGGTTGCCTGCTTATCTCTGTCTGAAAAAAATGGCTGGATTAGCATTTTGAGCTAATAGAGTCCTGTGATAGATGTGTTTTAAGGCTCATTAGTGGTAGGAAGTCCTGAGAGACAGGCAGAGCTTGAAATTGAAATACTGAAGACATGCTAAGAGACTTTGTTTTGGATTAAGAGAGTTAAACCTGCTTTACGCCTGCACAGAGAGAAGCAGAGCTGCAGAAATGCACTTAGTAATTAGGATTCGTAATGCCGTCTTTCATAGCAGAGGCTTGCACTGATGCCACTATTATGATTAAGAGTCGTATTTAATTATGGGAACTTTTATTAAATTTCTTAATTCTCAGTGTTCTTAATTCACATCTAGTTGTCTTTCATACTGGCAGCAAAAATTCCAGCAAGTCTTTCGTCTTCACCCTTTCTCCCTGTCCCCAAATTCCGCTGACTCTCAGCCTGTTGTGGATCCGGCCTTTGGCGGGATCACGCTGCAGAGCGGCGGCCGCAGCCAGGCTGGGTGGGCAGAGGGAGAGCGTGGCAGCGGAGGAGAAGGGGTTAGTTCCTCAGGCTGAGGAAGGGCGAGTTGAATGTTAACTTGCAGCATGCAGTAGTGTGAGCATTAGCTGAGAGACAGTACCCGTTCAGGCTGAACGCTGGACTCGGGCGCAGGGGACGTGGGAGAAGGGCTGCGTAGCTGCTCACCGGCTGCTGCTGCTCTTTAGCCGGGTTAAAGTATTCACCACCACCTGCAGCAGCAGCAGGAGGGCAGGTTTTGAAAGGGAGCTTTGTTTTTGAACCTGCAACAAGTATACTTCAGCCTGCCCATGCAGTGAGTTTTCAGGGAGGGATGTTAGTTCTTTCGACGGGCAACTTTGGACCAAGGGTTCGCTTCTAAAATGTGTAATCTGTGCAGTAGTCGCAGCCTTCTGGGTGCTGCTTTGCCAACTTTGCCCCCTCGGTTCAATTTTCATTTTTTGAAGTGAGTGTTCCTTGAAAGAGAGGGTGATGAGTCAATTAAAAGTATATATTCAGGTAGCAGTACTCTCTTTTTTGAGAGGGTGTTTAAGATTGTCTTCTCCAGTGTGTCCTTTCAGCGAAGGGGTTTTTTTGACTGTCCGGGGAAGACGGTGAAGCTGGCTGTACAACGCCAGAGTCTAGAGGCTGCGGTCTGACAGCGGTGAGATTTCAGGGACAGCTGCCTTGCTACACCTTCATCTCTGTTTGCAGCCTTTTAGTACTGAAAGGGAGCCCCTAGGAAAGATGGGGACAATCTGTTTAGCGGAGACAGCAGTGACAGGACGAGGGGGAATGGTTTTAAACTAAAACAGGGTAGGTTTAGGCTGGATATAAGGAAGAAATTCTTCACAGTGAGGGTGGTGAAATACTGGAACGGGTTGCCCAGAGAGGTAGTGGAGGCCCCATCCCTGGAAACATTCCAGACCAGGTTGGACAGGGCGGGCTCTGAGCAACCTGATCTCATTAGCAGTGTCCCTGATTGCTGCGGGGGGGTTGGACTAGATGACCTCTGGGGGTCCCTTCCCACCCAAAACTTTCTGTGATTCTGTGAAGCTGACAGTACTAGTTGTTAGCCAATAAAAAACTCAGTCCAAACCAAAAATCTATTCAGAATGAGCTGACAGCAAACCTGCAAGCCACTCCAAACTTCTGAACAGCCGTAAGACGATAGTTTGAGTACCAGCCCGAGTAAGAACACCTCACAAGCGAAAGCTGCCCTTTCTGCATACCTGTGTTCTGCTGGTTGCCGGTTGCTTCAGCGTAGGAGGCAGAGAACGGCAGGAGCGGACAGAGCTGCTTCCCTGGACGCGTTAGACCACGGCGTTCCTGCTGCGGCCGCGCACGGGGGCGGGGGCGGCAGGCGCGCAGCAGCGTTTGAATTTGCGCCTCTGTTGCTGTGCCTGGGGGTGACGCTGGAAGCTGACTCCGCTGCCTTTCTCCCCTTCTCCCCAGGGTATGGACAAGACTTGAGTGGTTTCGGACAAGGTTTCTCTGACCCCAGCCAGCAGCCCCCTCCCTACGGAGGCCCCTCGGTGCAACCATCCAGTGGCCCACCGGCAGGAGGAAGTGGCTTTGGACGAGGACAGAACCATAACGTGCAAGGATTTCACCCCTACAGGCGCTAGCGTGGGCTGGCAATCAGGGAATTCTGTCCGCCCGGGGACGGCTGGTGCCCGCGAACCCAGGAATCCCAGCCCGTCGTAACTTGTGACAAGCTCATCCTGGAGGGAAGAAAAACCTAACAACTTTTTTTTTTGGGGGGGTGGGGTGGGGGAAGATGGCTTCTGAAGGCAAAGCTGTGGGTGTTTGGACTGCAGTTTTTAAATACTTTCCTTTCTCTAACCCATCAGCACAAATAAAGAAAATGTCACTGGTTCAAACTACAGGGTTTTAAAAATGTCTTCAGCTTTAATTCAAAACTTCAGGTTTCTTTTTTTTGAAATTATTTTTCCTGAGCCTTTGTTTTACCGTATATTGTAAACTTTTATGTTTAAAAGAAAAAATATATACATTTACAGATTGTGAAATTTTTAAGAGAAATTTTCTACTATGTATGCTGGCTTATTTTTTAATTTAAAACAGGGTTTCCGTTAGCACTGTTGGAAGTGAGGGTAAGCTGCAACCCCCTTACTCCTGACATCAGTGGTGGGGCGGATGGTTCAGAAACTCTGGGAGTTAAAAGAAATCTACTGAGTGTATTTTGCTTTTGTTACCCGATGGTGTAGGGCTGGTAACAAGGCAGGTGCAGACTTGTCGACGCACAGAGTCACTTACGGAGCGCAGCGTTAGATCTGTGCTTCCAGCGCTTTCAAATCCTCTGTGGATTTCAGTAGGGGTTAACGGAGGCCTTGTTAAGATGTAGATTTCCCTCAGGCAAAAGGTTTAGGTGCATTTTGCACTAACCAGTGATTACCCCTGGTTTGAATAAAGAAAAGTACATTTGGATTAGAAAAAAAAGCTTGTCTCCATTTTTTTTTTTTCTTTTCACAAAAAAGTTGCTTGTGAATTTGTGTTTTCATGAGAAATCAATTGGCAGCCTTGAAAATCACGTCTTAGCGGCAGCAGGCAGGCTTACGCTGTCCTCAGGGGGCTGGGGCACCACTAGCCGTGGGGCTAAGGCAGCCGTTCCTCGTGCCCTCTTCACGCGGGAAGCGGCGCCGGTGGTGACGGGTCACGGCGGCTCTGTCACATTTGTGGACACTGCTCTGCGCCTGACCTTGAGGCCTCAGGGCACTGTGGAAAACGCGCTCTCACAGGCTACAAGGAGCGTGTGTGTCCCGTGGATTTGGGCACCTCCCCTGCCGCAGCGTGCCCCTCGCTCCCCACGGCTGAAACCCCGCGGTGACCTTGCTGGTGACGTGCTGTGCCAGTGCCCG